TTTTTGAAAAAGGACAGAAAAGCAGGACTAACTTTTAACATCTGAGATACATGTTGAAAGTTCCTTTTTGTCATAATTAGGCACCACAAAATAGCAAAACAAAAATCCATAATATACATAATAGGAACATCATTATGTAGCCAATGCAGTCAAAATTGTTTCAAAAAAATAAAAGTGACAGCATTGAGATCACTTTTCTATTTATTTTTTGGTCTCTTGGTATGAATTTCTTTATATATAATGATGCAATTATTTTCACATCTATGCATGTTCTTCTTCAAAGCTTTTATACACATGGACGAAATGTGAAATCAAGACCCAAAAAGCAAAAAGTGGGAGGCAAAATAGAGAATGCTTTCCAAATGAAGCCTTTTTTCAATGACAAATGACACAAATCAGTGACAAATCTGCTGTTAACCGATCAGAAGCAGGATTTCACGACTTAAAACAAAAACTGTCATTTGTCACTGATGACAAGTTTTGTGAAATGGGGCCCAGATGAGGATGAATTTTATCAAATTATTTGTTTCTATAAAGGGTTAAAATAATAACAGTAATAAGGATTTTTAAAAGTTGTATTAAAGAAAAGAAAAAAAGAAATTAGATAAGACTGAATTGTTATAAATGCTGTGTTTCTATACAGTGAATACTATTGCACAAAACAGAGGGTGAAAATGGAAATTTTGCAAAAAGATGTCAAAGGAATAAAGCTATAGAACGTCTATGTTTTTATTTTGTAATTATTATTTATCAAAAAACAAGGTATGGTTTCTGAAATAACATAAGGGAGGACTATTTTGAATCTAGTGGTGCAAGGTTGAATAATTTTATTGAACTTTTGAATATGGTTTGTATTCTATTCTTGTATAAAGGCTTAGAAAATGCTTTTGAAATTATTACATGTACATTGGTTCTAGCTCGGCAACCATTACTAGTACACAGTGCATTTCAAGTAATAAATTCTACCAGATAATCAATCCCTACACCCGGGTAAAGAATAGCAAAAGTAGATTAACGTCTGACAAAGGGACATAACAGGTGTGGTGCTGCTTGAACCAACGACCTTCACATCCCATGTCTAGTGTTTAAACCACTGGACCACAGAACCTCTCAAATCACAAACGATTAACCTTACACGACAAAATAGATGTACCAAAGTAAAGAATAGTTGACATTGAAATTATATTTCCACTGATGAATATCTTGTATAGTGCATAATACAATATTGCATACTACCATATGCAAATTTTAAAAACTGAAGAAAAATAAAGATTCTGCTAACAAACACATTGTTTTACATTCATTTTGCAATTCATACCTAAAATTAATCATAGCTTGATTGAAATTTGCATATCATGTGCATATATCAAAATCGAGAAAACAAATCAAAATCTAGCTTAAAATTGATGGAAAAAAATGACAAGGAAGCTGGAATACCGAATACCCACACAATTATTATATATGAACACATTTACCCTGTTATTTTAATCAACACATAATTATAGGTTATGTTAAGTAGATTACTACAGGCAGATAGAAGGAAAATAAGAGAGGGAGAGGGAGATATATATATATAGAGAGAGAGAGAGAGAGAGAGAGAGAGAGAGAGAGAATAAGAGAAAGGGAAACAGAGAGACAAGGGGAATGACGAGACAAAGAGAAGGAGAACCCAAGTCATATATGGATAGAGGGAACACAATCACACATACATTCAAAGTTAAACAAAACAATTGACATATAATTATGTACCAGCTGAAAATATTATACTATTATAGTTCAACAATTAAAATTCAATAATCAAAGGTAATTTTCTTCTAAAAATTAAAATTCTTTCATAAATGTAAGAAAAGATTCAATATTTAATGACAACTTAAATCAAAATGAAAATTTGGGAGCAAAAACTATGAAGAAATATATATAGGAAGCTGAAGTATACACAATCATGACTGTCGAAAAAATATGCAACAAAACATATTGGACATCAAAACCTGATGAAAGAATTGCAAGCATGATCTGGATAAGAAATTTGGATAACTTATTCATATCCAACAAGTGATGGCGCTATTCCTTTAAAAAAATGTAAGGCAGAGATATCTAGCTATGTATAGCATTTTGGCCTACTTGTTTGCAGTGGGGAGAACTATGGAGCATGTTGCTAGGTTGGGCAAACATGGTGGCCAAACTGTTTTGAATAATTGGCTCTGATTTATGATGGGAAAGGTGCAGTGAAAACTAGTTCTTGTGAAAGACTACATGTACATGTATACAAGATTTAATGTGACAATTTGAATGTTAAAATGGCAGTGCAAGACATTACTAAATCTACTGTGATGCAAGGGTGAGTATCTGTATGCACACTTTCTTATTATTGATAAACACCAATCGACTACAAAATATTGCTTTCTCTACAAAAAGACATATCTTAGAAATATAAGAACAAAAAAATTGAGCAATAATACGATGAAATATAATGAATACGAAGAAAAGAAGGGGCAAGCTTTCCCTAATTTCAAGCTCTACCTGAAACTTTCTAGCCAAAATATATTGAAGCAACTATACAGCACAATTACTTCATCATGTTTTTTCGTTGAATATTATGAATTGGAACAAATTCCATTTATCAATGATTCTTTAGGAATACATCAATAACCATGATTTTATTAACGTTCAAAGGATTCAAGGATACATAAATGGTTAAATCATATTAGGTACTACTACATGAAGCACCACGAAAATGGTACATTTTCAGGCATTACAACATAAATAGATTGACACAAGTTTCTCCTCTTGATAGGCATATTTTCTCATTACAAAATTTGAACTTCTTCATACACACACAGATTTGACTTCACATAAAACAGGGATGTTTCTATACCATTATATTGTATATTCAGAGTCAGAAGGGGGTCAATTCTGAATTAAAGTATATGAGTAAACACCCTTCTGGCTCCAAACAGACGAGATAGAGTACCGAAGCTGTGACGTCATAAAAATCTAATTTTAGAATTTCTCAATTTTTTCTTCATTTTCCGAAAGAACACCAAAAATAATGTCCAAATGTCGAAAACCAATTGAATATGTTTAGTATTGGCTGAGATATGACCATCTGAATGAATATATGTCCTATGGGAACTTAGTGTTATATGCTCTGGCTCCTAACCATTAGGAGCCAGAGCATATAACACTGAGTTCCTATGGGGAGTATATTTATTCAGATGGTCATATCTCAGCCAATACTAAACATATTCAATTGGTTTTTGACATTTGGACATTATTTTTGGTGTTCTTTTGGAATATAAAGATTTTTGATGACGTCACACTGAGAAATTCTAAAAATAGATTTTTGATGACGTCACACTGAGAAATTCTAAAAATAGATTTTTGATGACGTCACACTTCACCACTCTATACTGGCACATGCACTGCTGTGTAATACAGACAACTAGAAAATTATCTAACACAAGTGCAAAAACTTTCGAGATGAGCCACCTAAAGCAACTTCAATAGCCAAGTAAATTACTGTTTCAAATATGTGAGTCTTACAATTATGTATTACATGATTTTTTTGTTTATGAGACATAAAACATTGATATCCTTGAGTTGAATTCTAGAAAGTCTTTGGGGTCATATAACAGTGAAACCTGTCAATAAAGACCACCCGAGGGAGACGAGAAAAATTGTCTTTACAGCTTACAGACAGGTGGTCTTTATGTACAGGTTCCTTTTGTAAATGTTTCAATGAGAAACCTTTTTCAAGGGAAACAAAAAATGTGGTCTTTGTAGACAGGTGGTCACTAAAGCAGGTTTGACTGTACATGATCAGGACATGGTTGTAATGGGATATAAAACAGCAAATTGTCCTCGAGTTGATATCTATAAAGTCTTTGGGAACATATTATCCATATTAACCACAAAGCAGTCATTCTCGCACATATTTTTCAACAACATCTAAACAACCATAAGAATCCGATAATGACTAAAACGCCATCTAAGAACATTTTCAATGATAAACTACATTGAATGACATTTCAATCCAAAGTATGTGGAATAAATATCACATCGAAATAAACAAAAATAAGATACAGGCAAGGAAAGAAATCTTACATTTACAAGAAAATGAGTGTACAATGAGTTTAAAATAAGAAAATAAAAGTCTGAATTATATTCACAAGCATTTCAGATCTGGTAACCTAATGTAAGTAGATTCAAATATAACTGTTAGGTTTATCATTTAACTATCTAAACTGTACAAGTTAGGCATTTCCATGATTAGAGAGAAAAAACACTATTTCTCAACATTTAAATTGTTTAATTGAGATATAAGATTACTGCACCGACAAAGTTGATTAAGAATAAATAGCCATAAGTTGAACACTTATCAATGAAAGATTTTATCACAATGCATGTACTATATAGTCATTTCAATTATTTTCTACTATTTAACAAGAAATTCAATCTCAAATGTTGGTATCTCAAGTGTGAATCTATGTGAGCCAAGATCAACTTTCTGCTTTGTGTATGAGATTCCGGAAACTTTATGAGGCTATTTTCAAAACTAAACATGTTTACAAATTAATATTTATATTTCACCCGTTTTAAAAACAGATTACCATGTACACATGTATATGATATTACAAATATGCAAGTCAGTATTATCTTGAAAAGGTCCACATTTATTAGGAGGATACCAACGAACCTGTATACATGTATGTACTTATTTTCTTCTGTGTTTTATCCGTTATTATTGTTATAAATTTATATTCATGATTGTTATTGTAGTTTCTTGAAACCAAGCAAGTCACATTGCAGAATCCCACTTTGGGCGAAAATCTGCAACCCTGTATAAGTTTCATGAAAAAAATCAACAACAAAATGTAACAGCCAATTATTTGTTGCTATCATGATTATCATCATGACTTCTTAATGGCAATCTATTACCACAGATAACAATCATTATAACTTATAAGATATGGAAGCTATGGAGACATAATTATTTTGCGGATAATTTTTTAACCCCTTCTGGGACATCCCTTTTTGTGACAATTGTCATAAATGAACTTTAAAGAGTGTAAATGGACCAAAAATGCTTTATCCCACTGGTAAATTTGTCTTAAAAAATACCTAACCTGGACATCAACTTCATAACGGAAAAAAATTAATGTTTCTGTCAGGGGAAGAAAAAATGTAGCCATCAAATTGATAGTCCAACCACAGATATCTATGTTTTAAACATTGGGGAATAGGAATCTTACATTTCTGAGAAGCAAATCAAAGGCTGAGAAACAGTGTTTTTGCATCATTTCATTACCAGGGAATTACCACATACTCACAAAGAGAAGATATTGACCACAAAGTAACAAACTGACTTTACAAAGGATATTTCAAATTGCACCATGATACTTAAACCTGTCGAACATGAGTAACATAACCCTCGTTTTTCATCCGACTTTGGTCTCGCTTCACCACAGGTTATCATTCTCCTCAAGTGTATTAAATAAATAGCAAAAATGTCTTAATCATGTCTCTGGTTTCGGCACTCTCCAAGAGTGCGAAAGAAAATGAGAGAAGGTTCATCATCGAGGCAGGAGCCTCTTTCTCCTTCTCCTCCTCCATACCAGGACGAAGTAAACGCAGACTATGAGCATCACGCAGCTGACATTCAGCACCATGCACATGCTGAGGTCCACCCCGTTGATCCCGAGACCAAAGTACCCCGCTCTCCTCGTCCCAACCGCTAACCGAATACTCATCTCCCTCTGCCGCAAGTGATTCAAAACATCCTGCTTAACACCCTCAGGGTTCAGGGTGGCGCGGGTCCCCATGTCCGTGTCGTCCGGGGCTCCGCTGTTCGAGGCGTGGATTCCCTTGAACGCGAAATTCCGCAAGCCGTAGTAGTCTTTCAAGAATCGAAGAACCCTCCTCTCCTCCCACAATTCTACATTGGTGCTCGCGTAACAGGAAGCGCATATAGTCCGCGAGGGGAAAGGCGTCTTGGGGTGGGCGGGGTCCTCCGAAGGGTCGCCATGGAGACGCTTGTTGACGTGATTGTGGGTCTGCCAAAGCCACACGATGGCGCTGTCCAAGGAGGTGATTGAGTCGTCCAGGTCGGCGACCTCGTGACGGAAGTTCTCTCGGCAGTTCTGGCAGCTGAAGAAAGCGAGGATGTAGCCCCTCATGGCATGCAGAACCTCCATGTAGCTGACATTATCATCTAGAGTTAGAAAGGAACATCAAACAAATAAATAATTAAATATATGTTAATTAATAAAATTTTGCATTATTGAAAGGTATCCTTTCACTATATAAGTGCAATGATTAAACCAAGGGACAAACTAATCATTGCAGAAATTATTTCTTCTTTAAAGCCCCTCTAAAGTGTTGGGAGCCCCTAAAAAATGGTGGCAAAATTTCACTTAACTTGTATCATGTGAAAGAGGATGTCATTGAAGACATGTATTTAAAAACAAACGTGTTTGAAGTCAAATATTGATGAAAGAATACAAGATTTAGGTTTTCTGCATACAACAGAAACCCAAATAATGTATTCCTTTATCAATATTTGTCTTCAAACTCATCTTTCGAGGGAAATCTTTGAAGAAGTGTGTCTTAAATGACATCTTCTTTCACGTTATGATACTATTTAAGTGAAATTTTGCCATCAAATTTTTGTACTTACATCTTCTGATGAGTGAAGCCTGAGAGACGGTCAGAGTGTGGAACAGCGTCCAGAGGCCACAGGGGTAACCACGGAACTGAGGCTCGCTGCCACGACATCCGATCCATTCCACTCGATCGGGGAGTCCAATCCCTGGTTCCTGGTCCACAAATTTAAAAAAAATTATGAAAAAAATTATGATATTTTTATATTGTATGTGCATCTAATGTGACAAGAAAAGGGTACCTAAAAGACTGTTAATGAGCAACCACCTCCAACATTTGTAGCAGTTCAATGTTAAAGAGAAGGTTGAGTTCTTGGAAGAGGTGAAAAATAATTTGTGAGCATTATCATTCTTTTTATGCAAGTGTGGAAGAACATCATATAAAACATGCTCCCTGAAAAGCATGGCTCTTCAAATGCCTTCATATTCTAAATATGTCATGTAACATCGTAAAACTCGGGGGTAGGATTTTTACGCCACGTGTTCGTGTAGTCCCATATACATCTTTCTGTGTACAGTGTTTGTAACTTACCAAGACTTGGCCAAATTTCTTATCATTTTGATGATTCTAGAACCTTGCAATACACACAAATTCTTATATGCTAGATGATCAACCTTTTCTGGTCGATTCCACACCGATGCTTTCACAATGCAATCGCATGACCAGAACTCTACTTCATCTTTAATGATTTTGTTTGGTTAATTGCATTTAGGGGATATCCCTGTATGTTTTATTTACCCTTTTAATGCAGTAGACTGTTCTATTCAATTGAATGTGTCAGCAAAACACATTTTGGTCAATAATAATGGCTGTGGTTTTATGACACTGTTTAAAAATGTCTATTCTTTTGAGCAGTCTAAAGTTGTCTTTCTGTTAGCGTCTTCTACAGATCTGCACAACGCACACGTCACATTTGCAGATTTGCAGGTGCATACACATGCATGTACCTGCCACCCTTCAGCAGAAGAAAAAAATAGGAATCTCTCAAGGCAAGATAAGGAAGGCAGAGTATTTTGTACAGTATGATATTACATTTAAGTTCTCAGCAAAAGAGAGGAATCAAGGGTTTATAACGCTATTCTGAACACCAGAAAATATGAATCATTCCTTCAAAATGGATTTTGAAACCCCATAAATAGCTTTCTGAGCCAACACCAATAACGAAGAAAACATGATTTTATGGAATATTATGCACAAAGCAAATGAAGGAGAGCTCGTATAATAAGTCACAGAGTTGCCAATTTGTATTTGATTGATCACAACTTCAATAATTCATAACTTTCTTATTTTCATTCAGAATTTGCTCAAACTTTCACTCACCTGATTTTCTTATTATTCTGCCTCTATCGAAACAAACTTATTTTGGGGGTGGACTTTCCCTTTAAGACCACCTGTCCATAACGACCACTTAAAATGCTTGCGTGAGATTTCATGTACACTGTAGTTAAGAACCTGTCTACAACGACCACCTGTCTACACAGGCCACTATTTGTGTTTCCCTTGGGTGGTTGCCGTAGAGACAGGTTTGACTGTACTAGAGTCATATGACCTTACCTTGGTTGGGTCAACGAGGGTCAACCATTCTTGTATGGGTATGCTGGTACCCTCCTTCTCAAGCAACCATTGATGGATGGTGGACAAAAAGGACATCACCTCAGGTCTCCCTGGAAAATACTGGAATCCAAATTATCAGAAAAAGAGTATTATTCCAAGATGATTTGATCAAATTTCTACACGATTCATGAGTCTTGCAAATTTGTGAAATGAAATTAAGGATCATTTAAAGGAAAACACAATCTTAAGAGACAAACTCTAAAGAAATAAAGCAGAAAATAATGAGAGAAGCAGACTGGAGGAAAGCTTGAATGAAATTGGACAGAAAATATGAGAACTTTGAACTTTTGAAAGTTGTAATCACTTTTCGTATCCATGGGAACTTCAAATTTGCTGAATTGTATCATTGTGACAAAGTTCCGAACAACTTTCCATTCGTTCCAACACAAAATGACTAAAATATATATTTGTTTAGATATGTGTGACTTAGGATGGACTTTTCTTTCTGCTTCCACTAACTCAAACTTTATATCAACTTTACTTCCCCTTTGAGTAAATCCATTGTGCAATACCCAGGGGGGTGTTTCACAAAGATCCTATTAAAGTCGAACTTAAACATTATGGAGAGCCATTTGTAGCCTTAAAATAAAATGTATTCAAAAGCAAAAATCCAAGTATTTTAAACTTTCATGAATTCCAGATCAAGACCGTGAAATCTTCTTGATAAAAGAAAATATGAATGATTTGAATTAACATTTAATACCTTTTAAAATAACTTTTACAAAATATTTTCAAAGATGCTAACGGCTTTCCATAATTGTTAAGTCCAACTTTGAGATAAGTTCAACTTAGGATCTTTGTGAAACACCCCTAGGTACAAGATAAGCTGCATGAAAGTACACTGACCTTGCTGAGGACACCCACGTAGTTGGTTAGAGCCTGGAGCTCCTCCCCTTCTATGTGACTTCGAAGAGACACCTCCTGACGGAGTGAGTACTGGATGGCTGACTCCAGATCCAGCATGTAGACTTTAGGCCTAGGAGTACAACGGAAATGGAATCAACTTCAATCAAAAGTATTATATTAAAAATGTATTTAAAATGTATTATATATATAAAAAGAAGAATTCTGTTTTATACCCAGAAAGCCATCAGTGCTGTTTTTCCTGAGGGTTCTGTAATTAATTATTACCCCAGCAATTAGCAGGTACCCATTTACACCTGGGTGAAGAGTGACAAATGTGGATTAGTGTATTGTCAACGGAAGAAGCAAGATTACAGAGGAAAGAAATCTCTTTAAACAAACTGATGATGATAATATATGATGACATCTAGACATTCAGAATATATTCATCAAGCACTATGCCTAGAACTTGCATCATTTCTATTGAAATCATACTTATTTAAATTTCTGTTACTCAATGTACATCATGTTTCTTCCAGTTTTAAAGAAAGTTGTCTTGTATTCTGAGTAAGAGAAGCAAATTACTCTCAGAAAATACTATCAGGACTAGTGTATTTCAGATATTATCCTTAAAGAGATATTTCAAAGCTGGACACCTTGTGTTTTACTCACCACTCGCTAGGCCTCTGATCGCTCATCCTGACGTTGGTCTTCTTCTGCAATGCTTTCTCTTTGTTCTTCTCTAGCACCTTATTCCACATAATCTTCTGCTTTCCTCCTCCTTCTCCTCCTTCTCTTCCTTCTTCACCAGCCTCTCCTTCATCCCCTACCAGTCCTTCATCTACTCCTACATCATCGAGCCCGACTCCGGCACCTCCCACCTCCTCCCGTAGTATCCCCACCCCTTCCGCTTCCTTCTCTCTCCCCGCTTCCACTCCTCCGCCTTGTCCTTCTTCCTCCTCTCCTGCGTTCCCTCCATCATTTTCTCCTCTTCCTCCTTTATTCATCTCCACGAATCCCTTGTCGCCTGGCCTCAAGAGCAGACTGAGCCCCATCTCGTTCTTCTTCTCCTCCTCCTCCTTCTCTTTCTCCTTAATCTCCAAATTCCCATCCTCGTCCACGTCCCTCCCATCAAAGTCACTCTCGATGTTGTCTCCCTCGCTCTTGATGACCTTCCCAACCACTCCTCCTGGTCCCAATAGATGCTCCTTTTTCAGCATCTCATCACCATGGTAATGGTTGGTATCATCAAGGATTTGTTCGACTGGGGGTTGTTTGTTTGCATTGTCTTTGATGTGTTGCTTAATGGCCGCACTGAAGCTGCCCCTGTCGGTTCTACAAAGAGCACAAAAAAGAAAATAACAAAATGGAGAATACCGGTACATCAACGTATGATTGTAATTAATTGTTAACACTGTCCCCCAAACTAGTGCTATTTGCTGCCTCTCGCATCAAATTCTTTTCTAATTCATATTCAAATCTCTTAGTCTGTTCCCCAAAACTTATATGTTAATGCAACAATTTAATCTGTCTAGGTACCTGTACATACATGTACCTCCTCCAATTAATCACTGTATTTATCACCAATGCATCTCAGCACTTCAGAATTTCTCCTACAATACATGTATACTGTAGGACACTACAAGTTGCCAATTTAAAGACTTCAAGGCTTATTTTCCATTAAAACATTATATATCATGAACTTTATGAATCTTATACAATATAAGATACATTTTTTTCACAATTTTATGTCTAAACTTAAATTAAAAGTATACCCCATATGCCCTCTCCAACAGCCACAGTATGACCCAGCTTCAAGCCAAAGTATCTATGAATCTTACCCTACAATCTTGGTAGGGGCTCCTGAGCGGTCTAGGATGTATGCCGAGGGGAACGAGTCCACACCCCATTTCTCGATAAGAGGGTTATCTGCTTTCCTCATCCATCTTGCCTCTACCCTCTCAATGTTTGAAACATCTAAGATGATCTAAACAAAAATAAGAAAAATTATGATATACAGATCTACAGGGGATAGCCTACAAGATGGCAATTCACCCACCATTCCTGTTTATATATTTTTTCGCTGGGTGGCAACAATGGTATAAAAGACTTTTAATCTACTCCTCAAGTTGGAGTGACATACGTGTACGGTATATGTATGCATATGGTTGCAGAATTATTTGTACCATAGTATAGAATACATATTAAACTTATTAATAATGGGTATTAATTTTCCCTTCTTTAAAAGTGATGACATATCTTACAACATCATGAGTGCCTATCATTAAATAGACAATCTATAGAATTTTGTATATTCTATATATTTCTATATAATAGTGCCTACTTGTATAGCGCACAGGTCCACCTTTCGGTGCTCATGCATACTTGTACCAATCTTATATCTAGAGAGCACACCACTGGGTTATGTAATACATCACAAACATGTACTCTTCATAAATGTATACCGTAATTAAAACCACGGGCAGAGCTAAATTAGAAGAGTTTAGGATATGATTTCTTACCTCTTTTCCCATGAAGTTGTCAGTACCCTGAAAGATGATCACCAGGAACTGATGATTGGGATGATGAGAGAAGAAGTCCCCCACCCAAGGTGCTCTGTACAGGTACAAGAAATAAAAAAAGGGATTTTTTGTTGTTGTTTTTTTACCAGTGCAGCGTCTCATGAAACCGTTTTATATTAAGTTTAACACGCGTTTCAATGGGATATCGGTGAACTTCTATCTTATGACGGTTTTGTGAAACGCTGCCCTTGTTATCTATCTAGTACAGAGGGTACATCTAACGGGTAAGCATTTCATGTGATGATTATCTCCATCATTGTTGATAAAGGCTTGTTCAGACATGATGCAGCAAACCACTGCAAACATTTTCTGCAGGTTTTTTTTTTAGTGTAAATGAATGGAAGCTGCAGGCAAAAGGATCCTCCGCTTTTCACTAAGCTTTGTGTCATAATATACAGAGATGTGTAGCATAATGACACTTAACGTCATCATGTTAAAAATGCAGCACTTTATGGCTTCTTATCTGCATGGCTTCTTATCTGCATGGCACTTTAATAAAGATTGGAACATTATAGGAATGCTATAGATCTATTCTATGGAGTCAGATTTGATTTTGGTATAACAGGCATTTTTCATAGACTCTAGCACGAGTCATTGAGTTGTAATGGGCTTTATGTTCAACTGGAAAGTAACTTCAGGAACAGTTGTTGATACAAGATTGCTGACATCCAATTGAAACACATATATATGTATTGGTGTGTATGTATGCATTTCAAATGGGATGCCAGCAAATTTGTAGTTAAGATGGTTTCACGAAATCATGCCTTTTACACAAAGCCTACCAACTGATTGTACGGTTGTATGATTGATTGCATTAATCGCTATGTGCAATCAATCGCGAATATCAATCGTACGATCAATTGCTAAGTTTCGTGTTACAGGGCCCTGACTAACAAGGTAACCTACTCTGCAGGTTGGAGATCTGGCCAGGGCTTGAGACGATGGGGTTTCTGAGCTTCCTCCTCGATCTGTGCGGCAACATACTCCCTCAATGCCCGCACATCTCTCCCACCTTCAATAACAAGACAGATAAAATCATATAAAATGAAAATCCATTGTAGAGTTTGATAACACTCGCTCTGATGCCAATTGCAGCACATAATGATAATAATGATGATGATGATAAATCTTGATTTATATAAGCACTTAATACAAAATATTATCTCTAGGCACTATCAAGGTATTATTACCCTAGTCATCAGATTCATTTGTGCATGGTTAGCACCATCACCATGACAATGGCCTATTACAGATGGGGGAGGGATGCTGGGAACATAGTGGCAACAACAAAACCCCACCCCCTCTGGAAAAAAGAACAAGCGTGAGTGTGCATATTGAACATGCAAAAGTTGCATGCAAGTTGACATACATCTCCAAGATATCTGGTAAATACATGTAAATGAAATCTGCTTGGCTGAACCTTACAAATAAGCATTTTGTATTAGTTTGCCTTAAAAATTATTAATATTTTTTTGGAGACATCAAAATAATTGCAGACAAAATAGGTAGGAAGAATGATATCATAAAAGGGAAAAAATAGCCTGAAGGCTAAAAAACAGCATTATCTATAATTTCTACCGAACATAATGAACATTATTGAAAGCAGCATACTGTATATTTTCATGTACAATACATACAGGAACATGGAGAAATTTAAGATTATATAATTTTATAATCATATCACAATGTGATGTAAATGTACAATCTAAGCTTGAATACTACCAATACATTCAAATGTTTACAGAAATGTTTGTTTTGATTTTTCAATACGTATTATGCAACTGATTGAACAAAACCACATCATTTGACATTGGCTATTACTTGTACCAGTAAGTGCCAGCATTATTTGGTTATGCATAATTTAACAAACTACAGTAGGTACAATGTAGACTGATACAATAATACATGTCTACTCCTCCTTGAAAACCTCCCAATACAAGGAGACCAAACAAATAAGAGAAAGCAAGAGAGAGAGAAAGAGAGAGAGAAGGGGAGAGAGAAGGCAAGAGAGAAAGAGAGAGAGAAAGAGAGAGAGAGAGAAAGAGAGAGAAATAGAGGGAAAGGGAGAGAAAAGAGTGAAAGAAAGTGAGAGAGATAGCAAAAAGAGAAAGAGAAAAAAAGAAGAGATAGAGAAAGAGAAAAAAAAAAGAAGAGATAGAGAAAGAGAAAAAGACAGAGACAGAGAGAGAGAGAGAATGCGAGAGAGAGAAAGAGAGAGAGAGATAGAGAAATAGAGGGAAAGGGAGAGAGAAAAAGTGAAAGAAAGTAAGAGAGATAGAAAAAAGAGAAAGAGAGAAAGAGAAAAAGAGAGAGAGAGAGAGAGAGAAAGAAAGAACAAGAAAGAGAGAGAAACAGAGAAAGAGGGAGAGAGGAAAAGATCTCTACGTACATATATGAATAAATAGATTAGTGCTAATCCATAAACAGGGAAGGGTAGATGCAAAGGTCGCAAGGGGGTTGATACTAATCCCTTGATTTCAAAGCCAAAGAGGGATTAAAATCTGAAGGATAACATTAATGGTAAATTCATAATTCCACTCTTTGCTTTGTGTGACTCAGTGCCAAATTGTTCACATTAGATTAGTTTTCTTGGAATTGCATTTTATATTGTTCAGTTCTATTCAGTTTATCCAATTCACTCTTTGTTTTAAAATAGTTATAACAACAACAAAATTATTCAAGACAACAATATACATATCCCATCCCCTAGGCAAAGAAAAGGAAAATTTAAGAATGAAAAGAATAAGTCTATAATATACTCTCTTTCACATTGTCAGGCGCAGATTCAGGATTTCTTAGGGGAGGGGGCCCAACTTTTTTTTGCTCCCGAAAATTTGAAAATCGCGCCGGCCGAAAATTCGCTCAGTGGGGGGGGGGGGTAGTGAGCACATTTTTTTTTTTTTTGATCCTCAAAAAAAATTCTTGAGCGCCAGGGGGGGGCCCAACCCCCAAAAAAGGTAAAAATCACGTGATTTTACATGATTTTTTTCTCAAGGGGGGGGGCCCGGGTCCCCCGGGCCCCCCCCCCCCTGGATCCACCACTGCACATTGTAAAAAATAACTTTATAGATAACTAAACGATGCAAGTCTTTAAATTAATTATAGTTTGTTTGTTTTTTCGCCTCATGGGCTGTGGCACTGTTGAGGCTTATGATATCCAAATATGCTAATGTTATAGGAATATGGATACACCCATAGAAATTTTGAAATTTTAGAAAATCTGTTGCTTATAAATTGGTAAAAATGTACTTCAAAAGCTCTAACAAGTACAAGTAACATTCAAATGCAAAGAGCTATATCAAACAAGTTGCAACTTGGCAGCACCATACATGTATGTACATGGACATTTACATCTAAAGGCATCTCACAAGTATTATTTCCTTTCCAACTTCACCCCACCAGCAAAAGAAATATACATGAGCGGTGATCAATTTTTGTTCCTGAAAGCTCAAAAATAGCTCCATATGGTAAACTGGAAATATAGCTCCATATGGTAAACTGGAAATATAGCTCCATATGGTAAACTCCGATAAATAGCTCCATATGGTAATCTCAAAAAATAGCTGCATATATGGTAAACTGGAAAGAGATCTCACTGGTAATACAGGAATAACTAAAAACTAAAATAGAATACTTATATATCTCTGGGAGCAAATCACACTTTAACCACACTAATTCCTAAAAGAGCTCCCGCGAGCAGAACAATGGTTTTTACACTGCATCCAACAATCTTATAGCAGGGCACCTGGGACACTTGGGACCCAAAAATCTAAGACTGGACCCCCAACATTTTGAAGTTTTTACAAAGGGTTCATGCACACAGACTGTAAAAAGTTAAATCCAGGCCCCTTCCAAAAAAAATAGTGTTGAACCCTTTTTATAGTTTATTATACAAACATCAAGATTCTAGGTCTCTGATTGGTCACAACTGAAGGCATGAAATTCACTACCGACTGCTGGGCAGTATAGTGAAAATATTGACTGTGCATAGTTCTACTTGCGAGTACAATGCAAAGTTGCAATCGTGAAGTTACAATTTAGCAATGAATACATGCAGTGATACTTTTAGACAGGTAACTTTTTCTATCATTTTATACATTCCCCCCCCCCCCACTATAAATTACATTATGGGTATGTAAAACAAATATTGACTGTTTATCTTTTGAGTCACCGTTAGTTTTATGACTATAGCTCCTAACCTTGAGACTGCAATATACAATGGAGTTTCAAGATAACCTTCGGCAATACCATGACCCTAATTACTAACAGCAGTCAACATTCGGATACCGGTACTTAATGGAGTTGTATTGTATTGTTTATGTATTGGTTTCTTGATATAAAAATCATTGAACATCAGCTAAGAGTCGAAGTTATTCAGTTTACAGAGTAAAAAGTATATGGCATTAAAGTACATTCATAATACATTACAAAGATATATAAACTGAACAAGTACTGTGTATATTTAGAAGTGATATACGAGTGTCATTGCCATTTGTTTGACAAAAAAACTTTGAAAATTTATACTTTACATGTTTATTGCAAGAATGCGTAGTACATTGTAGACCTTAGCCCATAAAGACTGATAGAGATCGTAATTTGTAAACCATATACATGTAAGATATAAAGGTCCCTAGCACAATACAAAGAAGAGCTAGAAACTGTACATGCAGGTAAAATTAAACTTAGATACATGTTACATGTACTTTAATTGCTATACTGTACATGATGTACAGTATAGCAATTTAAAGTAGACTAAAAGATAAGTTTGAAGCTGAGTTACTACATGTGTAGATTGGTCAAACAAGTTGATGTTTCCAAAACTAAAAGAAATTAGCAAAAGATAATAATGAACATCTGGATCTTACCTCTGTGTAGTTTGACACCCGTCATGTTTTCCGGTTTTGTAAATGGAAAAAAGCACTGAAGGTAAGATGGCAGAATGAAAAACATCAATGAAATTATTAAAAGCAAAAAACGCGCACAAAAACAGAGTTTATTAATCTCAACAATTACATACTTTGTAAAAATTTAGAGGGTTGAAAACTTAACTACATGTATAAAGCTGTAATATTGACTACTATACATGTACATGTACATGTATATATTTATCTGATACTCATACATTATGTAACCACTTTTAAATGTAGTGCTGCTACACTCATGATATGCAAATGTACTTCCCTACTACAATTATCCTAGTCCTCCTCCTAGTACTAATAACACTCCTACAATACATTTATCAAGAAGACAGTGTGCCCACATTAAATTTGAAGACAATTCCTATATGAGCACATTCGTTTTGACTAAGGAAAGATTAGTTCCTTCAAACCAAAAGAAAAAATAAAGGAGATTTCTTTTTTTTATTGGCTTCTCATCACAAGATTTGACTTGTAAATACAAGGTTAACTGTATACTGTATGAGTAAAAAATTGTGTAAGTCAAAGTATTCTCTTCAGCCCCAACTGATTTGATTCATGCCATGTTGACTGTACTTTATTTTTCTTCTTTTTGCACTCAAATGGCCTTGCTACACTGCTGTCAAGGGCACACAGCCAAGTGCAGGCAGTATAACATATTCATTTATTTATTTATTTGTCCTTTTAATTTTTACAGGGTAGCATTGTAAGTCCAAAAAACTGCTTTCCACAATGGCCTTGTATATCTTTGGGTGTCAAAATCTATGATTATCACTTAACTTTTAACATACTTTTACTAAACCGCTCAAAAGAGTTGTGCAATTCAAGTTAGAGTATCTCTTGTTTTAAATGCACTATTGTAATCTAATTTGGCATCATTCTAAATGCTTGTTTATTCCCTCTTTAATAGGATGGCATTTGTGATGATTAATTACTCATGGAATGTGCAATTAATCTCAATATGGGACTAAATCTCAATTGAAAAGTTGAATGATTTATTGTCAACAGCGACTTCTTCATTTGTTTGGAAGGTGGATTGTGTTTTAATGATGTTCAAAGGGGTCATGCACAACTGCTAATGGTATATTTTGCCTATTTTGGGGGAGGAAATATGTTTTGGATGATGAGGTAGTCATTCATGAACTTTCTTTTGTTTAGAAGACGAAACGTGTTTTTAAATAATCCACTCATTATGAGAATACCATTGTATACCACAATCATTACAAATGAGACATCCTTGTAATCAGGAATAAACAAACTTTTCAATGATACCAGATTCAAGTATGATAACTCAGTAACAAGAGAAATATAATTACATTAGTGCTGTAGTCAAACGTTTAACCGTCCGGTATCCGACCGCCCATGGCGGATTCCGTTTTCAATTGGACGGTTTAGTTTTCCCCGTTTTTTTTTATTTATTTTTTTATTATTATTTATTTATTATTTATTATTATAGTTTCAATTTATGCCCCTCCACCTGGCACTATGCCTGGCAATGTCTCCCAGCTCAGTAATCGGTGTGATGACTTACCACTTGGAAACTAGAACATATAACACTCCAATTTGTCTGTCATCTTGGTTTGAAAGTAATCTTTGTAATAGATCTCAATATATATTCATCCAAGTTTAACACATGGTGTACCACAAGGTTCTATCCTAGGTCCTCTACTGTTTTTAATTAACATTAATGATCTTACACATTATTCTAAAACGACATTGTTACTATTATTTGTGACTAGTTCACAAGCACAAATCGGTGCCTTCAGTTAAATCACCTCGCAGTCCTTCCCGCTTTTCCACACGGCCAAAAAAAAAAAAAAAAATATATATATTTTTTTTTTTATTTATTTTTTTTATAAATCGTTTAACCGAAAACCGTCCGGTTTTGACTGGCGGTTAAACGGAATTGGAGATATCTGTGATGTTACAGCACTAAATTACATCTTACCTTCAATGAAGGATATCCATGAACATCATGTTTCCTGCATACCTCAGTATTTTTCTTATTTGAGCAGTCTATAGCAGCTACGTTGACAACATGTCTCCAATCTGAATTATAAAAGAGAGATCATACAGTATGTATCTGTAAATAATAGCAAATAGCATTAGCAATAGTATTAAAACAAACAAACCAAGTTTTAACCTGTGACTATGACTGTGGTCTTTATTTTTTAATCTGTTGCTGATTTTTGTTTGTTGTGAAGTGCAGGAGGGTTTAATGAAACCTTGTCCTGATAATATGGGGGGGGGGGGGATGGGGTTGATTCCAGGACCTATTTGATAGTTGACATAAATAATACAGAGAAATCCTGTCTCCTAGAGTCCCCTGGGAGATACAAATCAAATGGGTACACAAATTATTGCCAATAATTAAAGAAAAAATTACTATTCTTGTTTGCATTGTCTCTGTTGACAAATGCAACAACCTTGCACTTTGAAGGCATTTGTCGTCTGAAACAAGAACTCAAATATCCCTTTAATATAATCAATCAAGTTTATTAATCAGAATTTAAATTTTAGTTACGCTTCTATCACTATAAAGCTTTGCACAGACTGCACTGTCACTGAGAATATATCATTTCACATTTAAAACTTTCGTTTTGTCGAAAGTTGAACATTTAAATTGAGTTTAAAGGGATAGTTGAGTTCTGTTTTCAGACCGCAAATGCCTTTAAAGTGCATGGTTATTGCACTTATTCTTATCTATGACATTTATAGTGCCCTTTTAGAACCTAAAATTGCTATGAAGGTAATTTTAGACCCTAAAATGTGTGAAATTTAGCCAATACGATCATCCCAATTCAGCTCCACTTTCCAAAAAACATGGTGACTGTTAATTAATTATTTAATCAAAAATAACAATACATGAGCCAGCTAATTGTGGGTAATATAAGCAACATGAAAATGCCAACAAAAAGCCAACAGCGGCATTGGCTGAAATACGACGTAAAAGGTGTTATTTCGTTTTTTCAAGGGTATTTTCAAAATTTTCAAAATATCTAATATTTGAGGTGATACACAAGAATTAGAAATTGTTATATTTCAGCCGTCTCTGAACCGATTTTGATCAAACAAAGATGATTTTGTCATTTAAATATTACGTTCTTTCAAATTCGACACTCAGTTTTTCATTATCTCGCAAAAAAATATTTTGTGTAGCGCCCTCTGCAACAGAACTCAACTATCCCTTTAACTTTAAATTTTAACATGATTCATTTATTTACATCTGTCAATTTTATTTCATCTTTTTATTGAGGGTTTACGGTACTAATTTGCAGTCTCAGGGCAGTAGTAGATTTAAAAGCATTAGCATCAAAAGTCACATTTACAGTCAAACCAATAATATCTTCTGGTCTGAAACTCTGAATTGACATCAGAAATGCAGTATTACAGTTAGACCGAAAACTTCAGTCTCTCTAATCGTCGGTTGTTACACTGAGACTACGTCTGGCTCCACTAGACCTCCGATTATAGAGACTGAAGTATGGCCTATCGGGACTGTACGGGACTGTACGGAACAAATGGTTCGGTTCGACCAGACCGCGATGAATGAGATATGCAACGAGATTTTCACTCTTTACATCCTCATAACTGCTGCAATTATAATAAAAATTAAAAATAACATATAGAGTCTATATAGCTTATTTGACTTACGATAGCTTGCTCATTTAGATCCTAAATTAATGATTAATCCGAGAAAGTCTCGTCGTCAACATTATCCGTCTTGGTTTTAGTTGATGAATATTCATTTTTTCTTTTCGAACGTCCAATAGCTACCGAAGCTACGTACGAGTCAGCCCGGCTTGACCAACGAACTCCCACGAAACGAGTGCTCTGATTGGCCATTGGCTATGTTTTGGTAGGTTGAACCGGAAATATATCAGCCGCCGGGTAATAGTTCGAATGCATGAACGTACTGCTTCGCGGTTCTGAGATAAAATTGGATAACTCATAATAATTAAGTCCGTAAATTTCACATTCTATAATAGGTTAGCAAATTTTGAAAACTGTAATTAGGAGGTATATATACCGACCTAATTTACATCTGATTTAGAAATCAGAAAATTAGATCTAAATAAAGAAAATCGGGGGAGAAATGTCGGGAACGAAAAGATGTTCCGCTGTGGCTCTAAATTACCCCCACGGTACGAGATCTCTGGGTTGCCGTCTGTATTGGGGAATGTCAACAAATGTCAATTTTATTAAAGAAATGACCCAATCAGACGGTTATTTCTGTCTATATTACAGTAAGCCTGAGTAGCAAAACTGCGATGCCGAACTTTAGGCGTCGGGCCCGCGCCGCGCCCGCCCACGGCCCCGGCAGCTTCGGCACGGATGTGTTACTCACCCAGCAAATCCTTCGCGAAAGACTTCCACGTAGGAGCAAAATTGATACAGTGCCCGCACCAGCTCGAGAAAAACTCGACAAACCAGATTTTGTCAGAGTTGAAAACATTATTTGCGAAATTCGAATCATCCAGGACAAAGACATCGCCAGTCGGTTCATACAGTACTGCTTTCACTCCAATAGAAAGCGTGAAAATCAGCAGTAATTTGGAGGTCGAGAAACCTAAATGAGCTCCGGATGATGCCATTTTTGTCACCGTGTCAATCAAGATCTATGGAAAGCTAATATCTGAATATTCGATGCTCTTTAAATTCTATGGAAAGCTAGCTGTAGGTGCGCTTTTCAGTTGTTGCCGTGTTTTTCCCAATTTTGTTTTCCTTCTTCTTCCTCTTGATGTTGTTATTGTTCTCTTTCTTTTTCCTCTTCTTCTACTTTTCTTCTCATTTTCCTTCTTCTTATTATTATCATTCTCCTTTCCGCTTCCCTCTTGCCTCCCCACTTTCTACCCCCCCCCCCCTGCCACACGCTTTTACTCTATTTTGTATTCTGTTCTCTCCCCCCCCTTCTCTCTCTCTCTCTCTCTCTCTCTCTCTCTCTCTCTCTCTCTCTCTCTCTCCCAGGCGCGGATCCAGGGGGGCGAGCGGGCCTTGCCCCCCCCCCCGCAAAAAAAAAAAGGAGAGAGAGAGAAGGAAAGAAGGGAAAGGGAAAGAGGAGAGAAAGGGAAAAAAAGAAGAAAAGAAAAGAGGGAAGAAGTAGATCGGGGGGGCAAAAGGACTTGCCTCCCAGGCTGTCCTCCCCCCCCCCCCCCCCCCCCCCCCATCAAAAAATAAAAGAGAAGGAAGGAAAGGAAAAAAGAGGAAGAAGAAAAGAAAAGCCGGATATCAGTTGCAATTTTCCCGCCAACAACTTGTGGATCGGGGGGGGGGGGCAAAAGGAAGGAAGAGAACTTAGGAAAAAAACTGAATTTAGACAAAGATTAAGAGTCGATAACAACACAACAAATCGTCTTCTTTCTCTAATGATTTAATGAAACGTAAGCTTCCGCTTAGCGCGGGAGGGGGGAAACTAAATTCAGACGAGGATTATTTTTGGGAACGGTACAACAAATCGTCTTCTTTCTCTAATAATTTATTGAAATGTCAAAGCTTCCGCGTTTGGCGGAGGAGGGAGGGGGAAACTCGCCCCTCCCTGCACCCACCAACCCCCAATTACGTCACTGCTGGTCACCATTACGAACCATTTGGCTCGCATAATTTCAAATTTTGCCCCCCCCCCCCCCCCCCAAGAAATCCCTGGATCCGCGCCTGCCAACGGCAACAGTTTCAATATAAAATGTAAGTTCTTCTTACTTAAATCATTGGTCTGGAAACAATTATTTGCCCATTGTTGTGTATTGTATTACATTTTCACTGACAATGAATTCACATTGTAATGCAATTTTCAAGTTTCCCAGGCTTATTTAGGAGAACAGAAGATTGATATTGTTAAGCTGTACAATAACATCACTCAGTTTGATTTGATTGGAGATATATCTCATTAAAAACAGAGTAAAGGCTATACAGGATCAAACAAACCTACACCATTAAACTTCAAGCTCACTCACACATGATTTATTGCGACACTTTCAAGGCTACTTATTATTTCAAGTTCATGTATATACAAAGGGCAACAGCTTTAATATTAAACGTAATTAAATCAATGGTCTGGAAAATGTTATGCCCATTGTTATATATTATACAACATTTTCCATAACGATGAATATACATTGTATAATGCAATTTCCAGGAAAATCATATACTTGTCATTACTGTTATATTTGTTATATGATACTAAAGGAAATCGTTTCGCTTATCGATAAGATAAATAAATGTGAAGTACGTGTCAAATAATGAAATCATTACGTGCTATTTTTAACCGGACTAGACATTTGAAATGTATAAAAAAAATGTATACACTATTGACAGCAAGCAAGTTTTTTTAACAAAGAATTCAGAAATTGAACAACATTGCACATTTTAGTCTACACGGCATGCTGTACACCCTTAGTTGGACTGTAAACAGTTGTCTTCTTAAGTCTTCCATATAAATATAAATTTTAAGGAGGTCAATTTCATTATGAAAACACCACTTTCGTAAGGTTGACACATCAATATATATTGTGCACACATGTAACAATGTGATAATATTTTTTCTTGGGGGGGGGGACGGGAGGAGGGCAATCCAGAAAGGGACTGATATGTGAACATTAATATTGATAGGTCGCTTCACAAAAGAGGCATACATAGTCCTTTGTTGTGGATAGTTTTTTGAGCAAAACACAAAATAGGTGGAGCCAACGTCCACACAGGTCACATCGCACCCATGGAGGTTTTGGCCCGAATTTACAAAGCGAAATGTGCGAGTCAGGGGCGGCGATCCCGGGGGAAGGACGGGGTACACGTCTTCCCTCAATTTTCTTAGGGGGATAGTCCCCCATGGATAATTTGAAAAAGTGCACACCAACAAAATGTATAGCAAATACTGACTAAAGACTGCAACACACTTTAAGGCTCTGGTGGGTCAAGAGTACAGCGTTTAGACTAATAGAAATGCTAAAACCTTCTCGCTTGGTCGCTACGCTCCTTCGCATAATATCCTAAAAAAATATGCAAGTAAATATTGTAGAAAATATGTATTCTGTTGGTATCACGTATGCACAGTTTACGCTGTATGCTAACAAGATTAAAAGTTATAGAAATAGATCAGTGTTCCAAAAATGAATATTCAACTTGCTCTTTTAAGAAGTCCTTTCCTGCTCAGTACTTACTAAAAAATTTAACTAGTAAATATTTACAACCCTTCGGACTGCACACTAGATATCGGCAAAGTAAAAGTGAAGCGTGAAAAAAATTTATTGCTTGTTTTTATGCTGTAGTTTTGGTAAAGAATGTAATTTTGTAACACAACAAAACTTCAAAACCTGTGAGGGGTTTACATATATAAGACTTATCATACAGCTTTATGGGGGTAGTCCCTTCCGTCACCTCCGCCTCTTTCACTGGCGTACTGATGGGGGGAGGGGGCAGTAACCCCCCCCCCCCCCCAATACAATTTTAACATGGGTTATTTTTAATTTGATACCAGTGATTTACAAGTATTGCTGAAATGACAGTATTTTTCCATGAGCTCCCGGGGGCTCTACCCCCAGGAACCCACCAAGGGCCCTAAGGCAGCCCCTGTTTGCTCATCTGGCCGTAATTAAATGCCTAAAGTCCTTGAGCTTTCGGGGGCTCTGCCCTCTGGACTCCACCAAGGGGCCTAAGGCGGGTTCCTAGATGCGTAATTTGGTGCCTAAAAGCCCTGACCTCTTCTCTTCCGTTATGTATTTCTTTGTCTTTCTTTCTCCATATCCTCTGCACTCTCCTTATATATATTTTTTTGTTTTCCCTTTTCTATTACCTTCCCTTCCCTGGGTATACGTGTTATGAGATACAATGTGAAAGGAAATGAGAGAATAATGGTCGCGTATAGCTTAAATCAAAGTTCCCCATTGCAGTCCTCTCTTTTTGGATATTGTTGTATTTTGTTTTTGTTAGAGGTGTAGCGCCAGAAGAAAGAAGAGGAAGAAGAAAAGAAACGGGTGAAGAAGGAGATCGGGGAGGCGAAAGGGCCTTGCCTCCCAGGCTGTTGCACCCCCCCCCCCCTCCAATAAAAAAATAAGAGAGAAGGAAGGAAAGGGAAAGGGTAAGAGGAGATAAAGGGAAGGAAAAAGAGGAAGAAGAAAAGAAAAGAAAGGGGATATCATTTGCAATTTTCCCGCCGGTGGATCGAGGAGGGGCAAAAGGCCCTTACCTCCCCCCCGCCCCCGCTATAACAAAGAGAGAAAGAAGGAAAAGGGAAAGAGGAGAGCTAAAAGGGAACAAAAAAGAGGAAGAAGAAAAGAAAAGGGTGAAAAGAACGGGAGATCAGTTCCGGTTAATCCCGCCATCAACGTGTGGATCGGGGTGGGGGCCAAAAGGCCCTTGCCCCCCCCCCCCCTCGGCAAACCTTAAGGAGGAGAGAAAGGGAAAGAAGAAAAAAGGAGAAAGAAGAAAGGGGGCACTGGCGTACTGATAGGGGGCTTGGGGGAATTCAAATTCAAACGTGGTTTATTTCTAATTCCATAACGGTGGCTTACAAATAATGCTGAATTCTTTCCGAGATTTTTCCTCAGTTTTTAGTAAACTATACTTTTGTATGCGTTTGTTGGAAAATGACAAATTCCTAAATTTACAGCCAGGCAAGAAATATGATTCTTGAGAAGAGTTAGGGCCCGGAGATCGGCTGGAATCGCAAGCCTCGAGCTCCCTCCCCCCACACTTTTTTGAAAAGGTATAGTAAAGAGAAATAGAAATAAAGAGAGCAAGAAAGAAAGAATAGTTAACTAGCTGCTCATCTGACCGAAATTACACGCCTAAAAAACCCTGAGCTTCCGGGGTTCTGTCCCCTGCACCCCGCCTAGGGCCCTAGACTCCCCTGGATGCTAATCTGACGGAAATGTAATGCCTAAAACCCCTGTTTTTCTGGGGGCTTCGCCCGCTGGACCTCACGCCAATTAGTGTCCTGCCAGTGTCACAAATAAGGTATAAAAATATGTTCATCTGACCGTAATCAAATGCCTAAAACCCCTGAGCTTCCCGGGTCGGACAAGGTATCAAAATTTGTTTATCTGACCGCAGGCGCGTAGCCAGGGGGGGGGGGGGGATAGAAAAAAAAAGAGGAGAGGAAAGGAAGAGGACGTAGGGAGAAAAAGAACCAGACAAAAAACATCTTTGAAATTCAGACAAGAATTAAGAGTATAGAGAACGGTACAACGAATCGTCTTCTATCTCTAATAATTTCATGAAACGTTAAAGCTTCCGCGCTTCGCGGAGGGGGGGGGGGTACTGAATTAAGACAAGGATTAAGAGTCGAGAACGATACAACGAATCGTTTTCCTTTTCCGATGATTTAATGAAACGTAAAAGCTTCCGCGCTTCGCGCAAGAGGGGGGGGGGGGGGGAACTGAATTAAGACAAGGATTAAGAATCGAGAACGGTACAACGAATAGTTTTCTTTCGGCAATGATTTAATGAAACGTAAAACTACTCTCATCGGGCTCTCATCCTTAATTTTTCTCTTCATTTTTTTTTTTTTTGATGGTGAATTATTGGGGGATGATTGTACGGGCCACCCCCCACCTGAATTTTTTTTTTTTTTTTTTTTTTGGGGGGGGGGGGATATATAAACCATTTTCAGGGTTTATAGATAAACAATGACAATGAAGT